GGGAGAGGGCTAGATAGTTACGAACATCGATGAGAGAGAAACATCGATCAGCTGCCTCCTGCACGCTCCCTATTGGGGATGTGTCTGCAAACCAAGGTACGTGCCCTGACCGGAATCGAACCTGGGATCCCCCAGTCCGCAGGCCGATGCTCTTATCATCTGAACCAAAACATCCAGGGCTTATTACTTTTAAGTATATTTTTATTAAACTCAGAGAAGTAGTGAGAGGGAGAGAGCGAGAGAAACGTCATTGATAAGAAACAATCATTGATCAGCTGACTCCTGTATGCCCCATGTGAGGATTAAACCGGAAACCAGAGCATGTGCCCTTGACTGAAATTGAACCTGGGTTCCTGCATTACTCAGGATAATGCTCTATCCACTGAGCCAATTAGGCTAGGTATTTTATTATTTTTTTATTAGAAAATATATTTTTATTGATTTTAGATAGGAACATAGAGGAAGAGAGAAAGGCAAACATCAATGATGAGAAAGAATTATTTCCTGGCTGCCTCCTGCATTCCTCATACAGGGGACCGATTCTGAACCCAGGGTTTGTGCCCTCACCCGGAATGGAACCATGACCATCTTGATCATACATTGAAGCTCAACCAATGAGCCATGCTTGCTGGGCAATTTGGCAGTCTTTTTTATTTACTAGAGGCCCCGTGCACAAAATTTTCTGCACTAGGGTGGTGGGGTCCCTCAGCCCGTGCTGTACCCTCTCGCATTCTGGGACCCCTCGGGGGATGACCACCTGCTGGCTTAGGCCTGTTCCTCCAGAGATTGGACCTGAGCTGGCAATCAGTCATCCCTGTGGCAGCACGGCAGCCCTCAGGGGATGTTCACTTGCCAGCAGGCAGCAGGCCTAAGCTGCAGTCGGACATCCTTAGCGCTGCTGAGGAGGCAGGAGAGGCTCCCACCACCACTGCTATACTGGCAGCCGGCAGCCTGGCTTGTGACTGCACGGAGCTCCTCCATGTGGGAACTCACTGACCACCAGAGGGCAGCTCCTGCATTGAACGTCTGCCCCCTGGTGGTCAGTGTGTGTCATAGTGACCAGTCATTCCCAGTCTTTCTGCTGTTAGGGTCAGTTTGCGTATTACCCTTTTACTATATAGGATAGAGGCATGTTGCACAGGTGGGGGCCGGCTAGTTTGCCCTGAAGTGTGTCCCAGACAGGGTGGGGGTCCCGCTTGGGTGCCAAGCCAGTCTGGGTGACGGGCTGATGGCTGTTTCCAGCTGGTCACACCCCCTTCAGAGTGGCGGTCCCCACTGGGGTGCCTGGCCAGCCTTGATGAAGGACTGATGGCTATTTTCAGGCTGCTTGCACCCTCTTTAGGGTGAGGTCTTCACTGGGGTGTCTGGCCAGTCTGCATAAGGGGCTGTGGGCTATTTTCAGGCTGGCCAAGATGGCGATGGAAGTTTCCAGCCTCTCCTTTTTTTCTTTTTCTTTTTATGTAGGGATTTATTTACCTTCTATAATTGAAACTTTGTTGCCGCTCCAGCTCTGAGGCCAGGGCCTGCTGAAAGCAGGTATCTGGGGTTTGTTTAGCTTCTAAAATCGAAATTTTGCTTTTGGAGCTTAGAGCCGGGCTGTGGCAGGTGGGGAACCTTGGCTTCCTCCATCACTAGCAAGCAAGCCTCCTGCTCGCTTCAGCCGCATAGCTGCCGGCTGCCATCTTGGGTAGGTTAATTTGCATATTCTGCTGATTAGCCAATGGGAAGTGTAGCAGAGGTATGGTTAATTACCATGTTTGTCAATTATTAGATTAGATTTATTTATTTATTTATTTTTAAATATATTAATGATTTTTTAGAGGGAGGAAGGGAGAAGGATAAAGAGCTAGAAACACTGATCAGTTGCCTCCTGCACACTCCCCATTGTGGACATGCCCACAACCAAGGTACATGCCCTTGACCAGAATCGAACCCGGGACCCTTCAGTCTGCAAGCCAACGCTCTATCCACTGAACCAAACCAGCTAGGGCAATTTGGCAGTCTTTTAAACAGGGATTCATTCTTCTCCGACAATGTTTTGTATTTATATTTTGTTTATAATTTTAATAAACTAGGAAAGGTTTTTCTATACAACCCTCTTGGTTTAAAGAGTATCACATAATGTTTCTTATGGAACAAGTGTACAAGTTTAATGAAGTTATAACTGTCACTAAAGGCCTTTCTATCTCCCATTGTCACTAGAGTACATATAATGGAGAGAGCAGTTATCAATGGATTGAACATTGGAAAAATTTTAAGCAAGAGTCATATCTTAATCATCAGTGGAGAAGGGCACTTGCAGAGGACCATTATAAAAGTGGAAAAGTCATTGACCAAATGTCCAATCACAATGTACATCAGGTTATTCCTATTGTGGAGAAGACACACATAGGAAGTAAATGTGTCCAGTCTTTTCAGCAGTATTCAAATTACACTGAAGAAGAGAATATTCATACCACGGAGGAGGCTGACAACTGGAATCCTTGTGGTAGAATGTCCAGTCAAATATTCAATCTAAATAAAATGGAAAAAATCCATAATGGAGAAAAACCTTATAAATGTAAGGATTCTGGTAAAATATCTAATTGGTCTTCAGGTTGTATTCTAAATCAGAAAATTCATACTGGAGAGAAGCCTTATAAATGTGGACAATGTGGCAGAGCCTATAGATGGTCCTCACACCTTACTAGGCATCAGAGATTTCATACCGGAGAGAGGCCTTATAAATGTGTAGAATGTGGCCAAGTCTTTAGATGGTCCTCAGAACTTACTCTGCATAAGAGAGTTCATACTGGAGAGAAGCCTTATAAAGGCAGAGAATGGGGCAAAGCCTTTACAAGATCCTCACACCTTACTATGCATCAGAGAGTTCCTACTGGAGAGAAGCCTTTTAAATGTGCAGAATGTGGCAAAGCCTATAGATGGTCCTCACAGCTTACTACGCATCAGAGAGTTCATACTGGAAAGAAGCCTTATAAATGTGTAGAATGTGGCAAAGTCTTTAGAAGGTCCTCAGAACTTACTCTGCATAAGAGAGTTCATACTGGAGAGAAGCCTTATAAATGTAGAGAATGTGGCAAAGCCTTTACAAGGTCTTCACACCTTACTAGGCATCAGAGAGTTCATACTGGAGAGGAGCCTCAAAAATGTGGAGAGTGTGGCAAAGCCTATAGATCGTACTCACACCTCACTACTCATCAGAGAGTTCATACTGGTGAGAAGCCTTATAAGTGTGGAGAATGTGGCAAAGCCTATAGATGGTACTCACACCTCACTACACATCAGAGAGTTCATACGGGAGAGAAGCCTTATAAATGTGGAGAATGTGGCAAAGTCTTTAGAAGGTCCTCAGAACTTACTGCACATAAAAGAGTTCATACTGGAGAGAAGCCTTATAAATGCAGAGAATGTGCCAAAGCCTTTACAACGTCCTCACACCGTACTAGGCATCAAAGAGTTCATACTGGAGAGAAGCCTTATAAATGTGGAGAATGTGGCAAAGCCTTTAGAATACCCTCAGAACTTACTACGCATCAGAAAGTTCATACTGGAGAGAAGCTTTATAAATGTTGAGAATATGGCAAAGTCTAGATGCTCCCCAGAATTTAGTCCGCATAACAGAGTTCATACTGGAGAGAACCTGAGGATATGAAAAAGGACCAACTAGAAATTAAGCATACACTGACTGAAATAAAGAGTAATATACAGAGATCCAACAGCAGACAAGAGGATCCCAAGAATCAAGTCAAAGAGTTGAAATGTGAAGAAGCAAAAAAAAGCAAAAAAAAAACCCAACCGGAAAAGCAAAAAGAATCCAGAAATATCAAGATAGTGTAAGGAGACTCTGCTACAACTTCAAGCGTACGAATATCCGAATTATAGGGGTGCCAGAAGAAGAGAAACCTACAACCAAGATTACTTTATACAGCAAAGCTATCATTCAGAATTGAAGGTCAGATAAAGAGCTTCACTGATAAGAAAAAACTAAAGGAGTTCATCACCACCAAACCAGTATTATATGACATGCTGAAAGGTATTCTTTAAGAAGAGGAAGAAGAAAAAAGGTAAAGATTAAAATTATGAACAACAATTACATATGAACAAGTGAGTCTAAAAATGAAGTGGATAAAAAATCTCAGGAACATAGTAAACTGGTGAATATAATAGAATCAGGGACATAGAAAGGGACTGGACTGACAATTCTCAGGAGGAAAGGGATGTGGGGCCTGGGGGAAGAGACTAGACAAAAATCGTACACCTATGGATGAGGACAGTGGGGGCGGGTAAGGGCAGAGGGTGGGGTGGGAACTGGGTAGAGGGGAGTTATGGGGGGAAAAAAGAGGAACAACTTTAATGTTCTGAACAATAATGATTTATTTTTAAAAAAGAATTTCTCAGTGTTACCTCATTACTTTCTTTCCTGGGATGGATTCAGCCCTTGTTAAACAGAGTTTATTGTCAATTACTTAAATTTTGCTGGCTATTGGTCATTCTTCCAAGAGAATCCCAGAGACCATGGCAGATTTGAGGTTGAAAAAAATTTTTTAAATAGAAGTATATTAAAAAATATACTTGTATATTGACAGCATGTCCACAGTTATATTCATAGAAGCGTTAATTGTCCCCGCAGTGATTTCCTAGCCGTGACTGTAAGTCCCAGGGACAGCAGGATAGCAGTAATTGAAATGAAAGCGCCACATTCATTCCTTCTCCAGTGTCTTGTAAATTTGTACAAGCTGGTAATATCAGATGCTTTGCATGGGCCAACCCAAAGGATCACACAATGATTAAAGAAACTGGATATTGGATACTCTTCTTCTCTACTTCCTGACATTCCCATGGAGCATTAATACGTATAAGAATCTCCTGTTGCCAAAACCGGTTTGGCTCAGTGGATGGAGCGTCGGCCTGCGGACTGAAAGGTCCCGGGTTCGATTCCGGTCAAGGGCATGTACCTGGGTTGCGGGCACATCCCCAGGGGGAGATATGCAGGAGGCAGCTTATCGATGTTTCTCTCCTATCGATGTTTCTAGCTCTCTATCCCTCTCTCTTCCTCTCTGTAAAAAATCAATAAAATATATTTTTTTAAAAAAAAGAATCTCCTGTTATGTTGTCTCTAGGTCTCTATCTGGACTGGGGGCTTTATAGTTTTATTCGGGACAAACTGTTGGATCCAGATCATTGATAGGAATTTGATGTCACCTAGACAAGAGTTCCATTTTATGGTACTGTAGTGAGTAATATTGAGGCTGTGTATTGGTGGAAAAGATACAAAAGATTTATATTTCACATGGTCATTAGGTAAATAGATGAAGCAGACATTGTTTCAGGGTTAAGAGGGCGTTTTGTCTTCATCTTGTCCAGAATGCATATTCTGCTTTGGGGTGAAAGGCTCTGAGTGAGAGATTTCAACATGTTTTAATCTCTTGGCACAAATGGAGTAATTACTGAAATTCAGAGGTGCACCAAAATATGTATTTTGCCAACCTGTCCAAAAAATGTCTGATTTTGACTCATGCACACCACACAGCTATTACTGTGTTGGCCTTTGTCACATTTTATTCGACAATCTATCGGAAATGTAGTTTGTGCTATTGACTACATAGACAGGTGTTTCTTGTTCTAAAAATTCTCGCAGCACACCAGTTTGCCAGTGTGACACTGTTTGATAATCTCTGCTATAAACTTATCAAATCCATCTTGTCTAGTGAGTCATTTAAGACCAATTTTTTGTATTGACTTTTTTTCTGGCAGATCTATCCATTGATGTCAATGGGAAGCTAAAGTCTCCAGCTAGGACTGTGTTAATTAATTTAAAAATGCCAATAACTATATACCTATAGTTAATAATCACTTACAATATAAATGAGTTAACTGCTTCAACCAGAAAACACAGGGTAGCTGAATGGATATGAGAACGATACCCATACTTACGCTCTCTAAATGAGACCCATATCAGATGAAAGTAAAGGGTTGGCAAAAAACTTATTTCATCTCTACCTTTGGGCCCCAAATATATTACTCTTCAGAGAATTTTGCTCTGGTGAGAGCACTAATTTTGGACAGTGGACATACAGTAGGCATGAGGATAACTGTGCTCAGAGTTAGCTGACCCATGTGGAAGTTCTGCCTTTTAGTGAAGTTAGCATGTAAATAGTTTATCATTCCCCAGAAATTTGTTTTAGAAGAAAAAGTGGAAGGAGACATTCTACATTATTATTAACTAGAGGCCTGGTGCACAAAAATTTGTGCACTCAGAGAGGAGGGTCCCTCAGCCCGGCCTGCTCCCATTCACAGTCCAGAACCCCTTGGGGGATGTCCACCTGTCAACTTAGGCCCACTCCCCGGTGGAACAGGCGTACGCTTGCAGTCAGACATCCTTCTGGCAGTCAGGGAGCCCTTGGGGGATATCCGACTAAAGGCTTAGGCCCCCAAGGGATCAGGCCTAAACCGTTAGTTGGACATTGTTAGTGCTGCCACGAAGGTGGGAGAGGCTCCTTCTGGCTGACTGACACTCCTCATATGCAAGTGCATTGTCCACCAAGGGCCAGCTCCTGCACTGAGTGTCTGTCCCCTGTTGGCCAGTGCGCATCATAGCAACTGGTTATTCTGCCATTCAGTCAATGTGCATATTAGCCTTTTAGTATTATTATATAGGATGTCCCTATTTCCCCCCTTTTGCCCCCTCTACCCAGCTCTTGCCCCCCACTTCTCTCTGGCCATCACCATACTGTTGTCTGTGTCCATGGGTTGTGCATATATTTTCTTTGGCTAATCCCTTCTTTAAATTCACTTCTTTAAAATTTTATTTTCAGATAAGTGCTTATAACTATTATATATTTTGTATTACATCATTTAGAATTAAGATGTTTTTTAATTGCACCCTTGTAAATTTTAGCACAATTTAATAAATTATGCTAGAAGCAATTAGGAGATTTTTCATGTAATGCATATACATTTCAATTAATATTTTATTAATTTTTAATTTTTCAATATTTTAATATGAAATAATCTCATACATGTAAGAAAAACCCCTATAAAATACTACAGCATATTATGTGTACCCTTCACCCAATTTCTTAGGTGTTAATAATTTAAACATAACCATTATACAACTAACATAATTTGGAATATGTTTTTCTTATAGTCTCTTTAATGTTACTTAATCCATTTACTTTGTTTTTGTTAATCTTCACCCAAGGATATTTTTCCATTGAATTTTAGAGAGAGTGAAGGGAAAGGGAGAGACACATTGATTGGTTGCCTCCTGTACGTGCTTTGATAGGGATTGGGGATCAATCCAGCAACTGAGGTACATGCCGTTGACTGGAATCAAACCTGGGACCCTTCAGTCCATGCCAAATGCTCTATCCACTTAGCAAAACAGACTGCAGCTTAATTCCTTTCTTTTAATCTATATGTGTCTTTATATTTAAAGTGGATTTTGTTTTAGATTCACCCTCATAATCTCTTTTAATTGGTACATTTATGCCACTGACTTTCAGAGTGCTTACTGATAGAGTTACTACCATATCAGGCGGCTTCTGGGGCCAGCCTGCTCTGGATGGCGGCGCGCTGGTGGCTCACGCTGTCCCACCCTGCCTGCAGTATGCAAATTAGCTGCCATCTTCGTTGGCGGTTAATAGCCAGCCTGCCTTGGATGGCGGTGCGCTGGTGGTTCACGCTGTCCCGCCCTACCTGCGGCATGCAAATTAGCCATCATCTTTGTTGGTGGCTAATTTGCATATTGTGCTGATTAGCCAATGGGAGGCACAGCGAAGGTATGGTCAATTACCATGTTTGTCTATTAGATAGGATGGCTCTTTAATGAGATTATAGAGACTACTAAATTAATAACATTCATTTGACAATGTACTCCCAGAACACAAAGACTTCAAATATCACAACTTATTATCAATATATTCTGTTGAAAATATATTAATTAAAATTTCTCTCCCAGTGTTGGAAGGTATCTTATGTTATCAGTTGCCTACCCATGGTTGGACATCTGTGTCTGTTTCTTACACTTCCCTCCTCTACAATAGAAAATAGACTTTTCAAAAATGAACTGCCACCCTAGCCGGTTTGGATAAGTGGAAAGAGCATCGGCCTGAGGACTGAAGGGTCCCAGGTTCGATTCTGGTCAACAGCACATACCCGGGTTGCAGGCTCGATCCCCAGTGGGGGCCATGTAGAAGGCAGCCAGTCAGTGATTCTCTCTCATCATTGACGTTTCTATCTCTCCTTCCTTCCACTCTGAAGTCAATAAAAATATATTTTAAAAAAAATGAACAGCCCAAACATCATAAATAGTCAGCCATCCGAAAACACTGGTGTGGCCTATCTAATTAATGTTACTGCTAACAGTAGCAGTAATTAATAATAATAATAGGATTTTGTCAAGCTAACATATATGTATCACAGCTATTATTATTACTGAAGGTATATTATATGCCCTTAAACTATAAGAAAACATACTAAACACAATATATAATAAGTAAAACAAAACCTGAATCATAATAACAAATTTAATCTCTTGTGCCGTACCAGTGTTGCTTACTTATTGAACATAGTCCTAGGAACTGGCAGGTGAGGGTTCCATTCTAGGTTGGTGCACATGCCAGGGTTGTGGGCTCCATCCCCAGGGAGGGGCATGCAGGAGACAGCTGACCCACCTTTCCCTCTTCTTTCCTCTCTGAAACCAACAAAAATCTATTTTAAAAAATTGCTTGTTATACTTAATAGAGGCCCATAAGACTTGACTGCCTCCCATTTACAGTATTTTCACTTTACTAAAAAAAAAAAAAACTGGCCTTGACTGCCATCCAAGGTTACACAGTCTTTCTCCAACCCCAATGGTCCATTATTTATGAAGAAAAACTAAGACTGAGCCTTCTCAGTACCAGGGCACATCATTATCCTACAGAAAGTTGGCTCCTCAGTACTTCCTTTGGGTTGATTATCCTAAAGGGAATGTGTGCATGAAAAGGGGACACCTGCTAGCTTACCAAACTCATTGAAGGCCTGCATGTCAGTCTTTCAAAGTCAGAGACCTAAAGTAACCAGAAAGGATGGTCTGAAATGAAAATCTTTTTAAAAGCAGTTTATAGGAGGTAGTCAGGTCCTATGCAAGAATTTTGCTTAAAAAGAGGGAATCCTTATCTAAGGCTGTCTATTGTCTTTTGCAGCCAGGATAACATTCCTTTGGAATATCAGGGTAACTCCCCCTTTTCGAGAGCCCTCAGGACACAACCATTGCACTAGGGGGAAACTGTAAACCCTCCTGTTATTATGTTAATTGTTCACTGTTAATTAAGGTGTGTACACTTATATAAAAGACATGTATCAATCATTTTACTTTTCATCCACTCCTCGAAGTTTCCTCACCTGCCTCTCTCTCCCCCACCTCTCTAATCTATCACCAATCAATTTCATATAACCCACTTCCATCTTCTCTCTCTCTTTTTTTATAAGGTGTGGCAGATGAGTGGTTGAGATTTTATTGCAGTGAAAGTGGGAGGGAATGCTAGAATGAACTGTTATCCAAGGGAAAAGAAAAAGGGAAGGCAAGGAGCAGTTGAGGTCAGGGGCCTGGATGGTTGAATAAGACACTGTACTGATAATTACCCGCTGAGATGGCTGACTTCCTTAATACAAGCTGCCTCTCCTTCAGTGGGGAGACACAAGGGCTGAGAGAGCAGGCTGCCCTTCCTCCTCCCGCTTCCTCACTGAGGTTTTAATGACTCTGGGGAAATTGGAGTCAGGAAGTTTCTGGTTTCAAACTCAATCGGCCCCACTTTTGAATTCTTTGTAACTTCACTGTAAGAATGCGTTCCCGGCTTGTGAAGATCTTGAGAAAGACACCTCCCTGGGACACCTGCAGCTGAAGGGCAGACCAGCCAGTAGCTCTAAGCACAGCCTCTGGGAGCTGGGAAACTTCTGTGTGAATTCCCCTGATTCCCTCCTGTTTGGTGCCACCTACAGGAGCCAGGCCCAGAGACATGGTGAGACTAGGAAATTGCATTGCATTCTCTCACCCCAGCTGGAGACCCAGGTGTTGGTGTCAGCCCTGAGGGTGTGACCAGGTTTCCTTTAGGGTAGAAGTATGCGCTGTAGGGTCAGGGTGTGGTGCATGCCTTGGTCAGGAGGCGGGGAGGCAGAATTTGGTCAAGGGAGTCTGATAGATAGAACCTCCCTTTATCCCCAACTGGTGGGCAGAGTATGATCTAACCTGAAGGCCGGAAATACCTGAGTGACTAACCGTGTACAGTGGGGCTTTGACTTACGAGTTTAATTCGTTCTGAGACCGAGCTCATTAAGGAGCTCGTTAACTCAAATTACTCTGTCAACTCAAAGCAAAAAATCCGCGGAGACACAGCTGGTATCTCAAAAAACTCGTTAGTCGGGACAGTTCTAAGTCAAGGCCCCACTGTACCTTATATGGACTATACATTGGACCACCAATCTACACCTGCCAGATACCCTAAGCCCTTGTCCTATATGGTCAATGCAGTAAGCCACCAATCAGTGTCCGCCGAGTACACTAAGCCCCCACCACTTCCCATTCCGCCCCTCAAAAGGTGTGCCCATCCCTGGAGGTGCTCTCCTCCCCTTGCGAGACAGCCCGGCAGGTCCTTCTCCTCTAATAAAGCCTGTAGTCCTGGTTTTCCACCTCTGTCTTATCTTTCAGATTCCAGGGAGCAGATTTCACCAGTGGGTTAGGGCAGGGCAGTACTTACGTTCCCTCTGGGAGCATCAGCCCTCAGCCCCCAGCTGTGCATGAGCTGTGCAAACGAAAGTCTAGGCTGCCCCCTTGCGCCCGCCCCTCCTTCCCTCTGTGCTTGCGACCTGCTCTTCTAGCTAGTCCCCCCCCCCAAAGCAGAATGGATCAGCTCAGGCTCTAGCCCCGCCCACCCCGCAGGGAGGCGCATGCGCAGTTCCTTGCAGGCGCGGAAGCGGCTGTGGAGGGGAAGGTGGCGGTTCCCCCTGAGGCGGGTGTTTGTCTTTAAAGCTGACGCTCCCGTCCCCCTCCCCCAGGGAAGGCTGAGGGCGCTGCCGGCGCTGGAGTCCTTGTTGGGGTCCCCGCCCCGGAGCCTCTCTCAGCGGTGAGTCCGCGTCCCGGGAGGCCGCGCGGTGCGGGCGCCACGTTCCTTTGGGAGGAAACGGAGGCCCGGCCCGGGGGCTCTCCG